AGTTGAGTGTGGCTACGCTCCACTACGAATAGTTTAATTTATCACTGTTCAACAGGAAACAGTAAACCGTGGCTTTTAATTTTTTTTAATTAAAAGCAGCTGGAGCAGTTCACTCTTAGTCCAGTTTTCTATTTCTGCTACTGCAACATTCAGGCTGCCGCTGTATGTTTCTCTTAAGCTAACGCTGTTATGTGTTATGTGTTATGTGACCAAGACACAGACTCAAGCTGATACCACCTTCACCGAAACTGAATTAAAAAAAAAAGAAACAGTGGCCAATACTTGCCTTACTAACGCTAGCCTCATTGAGCTTTGCAACTTCTTCTGGGTTTAATGTATGGCCGGTGTTTGAAAAGTCGCCGTTGATGCTTTTAATACTGTTGCTGATGATGCCACAGCTCTTGGTAATTAAAGTTGTGCATATTGGAGTATTGCAACAAGGAAAGGAAAGGAAACTCCGATTGCGTAATTAATACTGACATATTCCCAACGGTGTACTTAGCAGCACATTAACCGTGGGTGCATAACTCTTATGTGATTGTGTGCGGTTTTAAATACCATTAAATATGTAACGGCACACATATGTATATAGTGTATGTGTATATTAAAGATTTATAGTATATGGACCTAGTAGTACCGTATGCCATTGTGCACAAATGAGTAGAAGTACGTAAGTTGGCCAGCTCGAGCTCGAGTACGGCATCAGTATTAATATTTATTACTCCGTTAAAGGATTAACAGGCACCTTTTTATTTTTATTTTCATTTTCTTTTTTATTTTTTATTTTTGTTTTTATAATTTAATTAAGCCCTAAATGAATTGCAAAGTTTTAAGAAAAAAAGACAGTAATAAATTAAAAAAACGCTTAATAATTATATCCTTAAAATATTTTTAACACGAGTAAATTCAAGAAGTCCTTACTGACGCGACACTAATACTGAAGAGATGGATCGTATATAAAATTACGCTAGCACATACATTTGCGATATAACAGAATTAAAATAGTTGAAACTAATGGATTATTGCTGAATTCTTAGATTACATATACGAATGGTTAACCTTACTTATATCTATTGAACGGAAATAGTTTTACATTCTGCTTATTATATTAAAAAAAAAATCTGCATATGTTAAGTAAATACGAAATTAGTGACATTATAATAATCCTACAGTCAACATGACATGCATTATTATCTTAACAATATGGATCTGTCTGATAAAATAGAATATCGACTCTACTTGGAAGCGGATGACAGACTAGCCACATTCTTTGTGACTGTCCTGCTTTGAGCTGGAACTAGTTTATTGTGTCGGAAGTTCCAACCCAAGTCTGATATTTGGCTGTCCTCAACAGCTGATAGTTTGCCTTTAATTCGAAGTACGGAGTATCTTTTCTTTAGTTCGAAGCGATTAGCAATATAAAAAATCAGACATGGTCTTAGTCTTCTGCTTCGCTATAAGCCAGCAGCTTGTTCTATATATATATATTGAATCTTTCGGTTCTTAACTAAGTAAAGTTTGGTTAAATTTATATTAAATCATGATTTGAAGGATCATGTACACATAGTTTAATAAGTAAGTTCACTAAATAGATATGAAAAAGTGGATGTGGACATATATATATATAAAAATGATTTCATTTATAAGCTTAATCTTCGTCAGATTCAATATAAATATTTCAAGAACTTTTTTAATATATATATTTCATTACTGTAGTGATTTTCTATGATAGTAGAATTCTGAAAAATGTTTTCCTTGAAATACTTTCTTCAGTTGTGAGGAAGTTAAAAAATCAAAATCGACTTATAGGTACTTCACTGGTTTAGTGAGAAAATGTTATGTAAATGTAATTGCCCAAGAATGTTCTTTTTGGAATATAAAAATAAGGTATATTGCTCTTAGACCCCTTTTTTTAAAGAAAAGTTTCCAAACCAGTGATTTCCAACATGCTTAGTGTATAATTAACTTCTATTTGAGTATTTTAATATCGACAATATCTCACATGTTATCTATAGATCTGTATTTAGGAGTATGTTACGCCACCATATTTCTAATATGCTGTGTTCACATCTATTTACGTGATTTATTGTTTAAGCCATATTATCATATTAGCCATATTTTATATACATATAGCCATACAAGTAAATCGTTCGATTTTGTTTTCTCACATTAATTTTTGGATAGGAGTCAGTTAGACTAATGAAACCATACAGTTAGAAGAGAGCATATTCTGTGCTACAATCATACTACCCAGTTAAATGAATTGATCTGTAGGTTTCAGGTTTCTGTTGTCGAACGTAGAATGTTTTGTACTTGATATATTTATTTTCATTACTCCGATCTTATCAAAAAAAATGAAGACATAGATATAGTCTATATCTCTATCTCATAGGTATAGATATTGTCATAATCTCCAGTTAAATGTACGTCTCGTCTTCTCTGTTGGAACAGTCTTGTTCAAGAATAAGTAATAGTTTTTGCGCTAATAGCAAATATGTACAACATCTTTTTACTGTAGTATAACCCAAAAACTATTAAACTATTAGCAAGAGTATAAAATTGATGGCTCCCTGTATTTAATGCTTTCTTGGTCATGACCAAAAAGAGCCTAAAATACCCATCATCGTTCGTCACATTACTATCTACATAACACAGCTCTAAGGAATAAATCATATAATTTAGAATATAAAGCATATACCTACATGGTTGGTTGTAGTAGGTGGGCCCAGTTAATTAATAGAAAAAAAACATGTTTCTTGATGTTTAAGTTAAAAATCATTGAAAATCAACTTAGTTTAAAGAGATTTGCTTACATCACTTTCTAATGATTATATAGTGTAAGTGACCCCTTTAACCTCAAATATCGTAATAAACATATTTTATACAAACATTTTCGCACGTATTTGCCGATCAACATTTTTTGATATCAAGCGACCGTGGAACAATAGCTTTAAAATTTGGAATCTCGACCTCTTGTTGAAACCAACAGTGCTGTACACCATTTTCATGAACAATTAGCATCACTGTCCATTGGTAATCATAGCCTAATAACGCACTAGCTGAACGGTTGTTGTTGAACGGTTTGCCGCAAACGTCTTCGAATAAATGTGTTCAGAAGATCGAATAACACTACAAAAATTTTTGGAAGTAAAGATCTATTCTTCGTCAACTTCGGATTGACGAAGAATGGTCTTTGCGTAGAATCAACAATTTTTTTGTTAGAGGTTCTGTTAACCATAAAATATACCTCATCATTCATACCGATTATTTACGAATATCATTCTGTACTCCAGCGCATTTGAATACCAGTCAAATTGCTCTAATGAATATATTTTATAGGACTGTTGTTTCAAAAACGTGCGATCATGAGTCATTCTTACCTTATTTGTCAAGATACAGTGTTACCAAATGGATGCATACAATATAGCCCTGTATTAACTATACCTATAAAATAATCTCTAATTTACTATGTTAGGTTAGGTTAAGTTCTGGGGCCGTTCAAAGAGGCACTTAGACCATGAGGACTATTGTGATACCCTTAAGAATTTAACACCTGCCACTATAACCATTTAGTACTGGCCACAAAGCCATTGACACGAGCTCTCTCAGTGGTGGTTCCTCTTCGTCATTCTCCATGCAATGTCTACAGTGCAAGGAGTTCCTAATATTTAGCCTCATGGCATGTCTTTCCAACGGGCAGAGTTCCGTAATAATTTCCACTATCTTAGATCAATTTGGTCGGGATAGGTTGATTAGTTCTCCTGATTTTTTCTGGCTAAAATTTCTTAGTTTTAATGCAATTGGTCACTGTTGTCCATTTTCTCGTAAACATCAGGTGTACCCATAATATTATTCGATGCCGCCAGGAAGCAAGTGGTGTACCCACACTTCCTTTTTCTAGAAGAAAATTCACTAATAAATAATCATAATACTTATTAAGAAGAATTATTCAATGTCTGGACGATTCGAAACTGCCATAAATGTAAACTAAATTTATATGTTTTATATTAGTATATTATATTTTCTTATATACGTATATAATTCATTATAATTAAGAGCTGCTATTATCATGATTAAAGAACTAATGTAATTAAACTAAATTCGACTATATATATATATATATATATATATATATATATATATATACATTTATTTTTGGTATAAAGGTTATTAGAGATGCTGAAAATAATCCATTACAATAGGTAATTAATAATAATTGTATATTATTATTTTTTATTGTTTCCTTTGTGTATTTACAATGTATTTATATATTATACTTTGGGTACAGTCACCACTCGTAGTAAGAGCAAAGGGTGGAAATAATAATTGTACAATAGTAAAAGTATTAAAAAAAATTGTTTCGATGTATATATATATATAGTTTTCAATGGTTAACAATAGTATTTATGTAAACATATACATAAATTACTTTTTTATTTATAAATTTTAATATGAAATTTTAGTCAGCGCGCCTAGAAAAGCTTCCAAATTAAGTGTTTTAAAAATTGCATGTGAATTAATTTAATTAAGTGCTTTATCTGCTACAAAAAGGTATATTAATTTATATTCAATCATCCACATAATATATGTGTTTCTTATTAATAATGTTCAAAATGCTTAAAAATTTTATTTATACATATATATTACTATATATTTATATACTTTATATACATATACATATATATATTTTACTTGTATTTTAATTATTTTTTAATTTAGCAGAGTTCTGCAAATTTTTAAGATGTTTAAATGTTTGCAATTACAATCAACTCATACCTTCACTTATCTTTATATATATTATATACTATAATATATATAATATATATATTATTATATTTATATATTATATATTACATGTATATTTTATATATATGTAATAAATTATAATTTTTTTACCAAAACATTTTTCATAATATTTTAATCAATGTCTTTTGATGCTAACAAACTCACAACTTAAACTTAAAATAAAAATTAATCAACTGTACAAAATCTGCCAACAGATACGGATCGTATTTTTATGCTGGCTACCATGGTTACTGCGTATGAGTCGTCCTGGTAGACCACTTATATTGGAGTTTCCCACAACACCGTGTTCGGACACTTCATCAGAACGAAAACATCAAATTTTGTCAGATGTAGAATTGAAAGAAAGGTATATACAATTGTAGAACATATTGTCATTTACTTAATACATACCATATATATATTTAACAATATGATTTAATGAATTTTTCCAAATAAACTATATACGCATATAGGTCATCAAAATCATTGCTAGCCAATGTACTCGATATCGATGATGATTTTCGACACAGTTGTCGCCCGATGACACCAGGCGGCACGCTACCACATAATCCAGCATTTTATCGCACTGTTTATGGGTAACACATATAAATGCAAACAAAATTAATTTTTTTTTATATACATTTTTAATGGGATTTATTTAACTAATTGATTTAATTTTAACTTATAGTCAAGGAGATGACGGCAGTATCGGACCAATTGGAAGCACACGTATGCCCGATGCCGTCACACATCACACATGTATAAAATCATCAACGGAATATGAATTAGGTTTAATATTAAAGGAAATTCGCTTTATAACCGATCAGGTAAGATCAAACTTATGAGAGATATGCATATATATTTATACATACATAAAATTTTATTAATACCAATATATAGAAATATTTAGTTTTAAGAAGTTTAATTATTACTACTGTTTTATTTATTATTTATTATAAGTATTTTTATTCTTGATATTTTTATAATATAAAGTTTGACCATTAAATTTTTTCTATGTCATTTATTAATATACTTAACTATTTAGATCTATTAAGTTAGTATATAAGATTAGTGAAATATTTTTATTTTATTATATATTATTCATATATTATTTATTTTATTTATTATTATTTCTTCATATATTTATATATTATTTATTTTAAATATTATTATTTGTTTATATATTTATATATTATACATATTGTTCATATTTTATATATATTAATATTAATAATAATACATATATGTATATTATTATATTATATATATTATTTATATATTATTTATTTTATGTATTTTTATTTATATGTTTATGTATTATTATATTATTTATATATTATTTATTTCATATATTATTATTTATATATATTTATATTTTTTTATATAATATATAATATTTATATATTATTTATTTATATATTTATTAATTTTTTTTGTCTTCCATTTTTAACCTACATATATCACTTAACCTATATCGCTTTATAGTTAAGATACAATACAACTTATGTACAATACGTTATTTTTTTTTTTGTGCTTCATATAAGTATTTACTTCATAATATAAATTATAATTATACAGTTCTTGTATGTTTTATATTTAGATACCAAGTATTTTCAAATTAATCAAATTTTTATATTATTATGAACAGGGTTAATTAATTTAACATATTTATAAATGTTTTAAGTGAATATGTTATAAAAAACCTTACTTAAATATCTAAGAATACTTTTTATAATATTTAAAAAATTTTTTTAAACCTGTAATTATAAGATGTATGTATATAAAAATTTAATAAAATTAACAATTGAAAAAATTCAATTATATCGAAGCAAGTATATTAAAAACAAAAACTCTATTCTCTCCTTATTTCAATTATTTCTTTTTTAATATAATATTCGCAAATATATATATATAATAATAATAACTTTTACAAAAACACATTTTATGCTAAATATTGGTGAAAAAAATTATACGTAATTAATTAATTGTAATTAAAATGAAAAAATGAAAAAATGAAATCGAGTAGCTACGTAAAGAAGACGAGGAGAATGACATTGCCAATGATTGGAAATTTGCAGCTATGGTCGTTGACAGACTGTGCCTTATCATATTCACAATGTTCACAATATTAGCCACAATAGCTGTACTACTATCAGCACCACATATTATTGTCTCGTAGCCATATGAGCGAGGTTATTGTTATTGGTTTTATTATAAAATCAATTTGTTAATTATTAAATTAATAACGAAAATTTTTAAGTAAACAATTTAAAAACCAACAAAAAATTGCAAAAGAATGATAACACTACCAAAAAAACAAAAAAAACAACACATTAATAATTTCTTTAATATTGAAAGTATTTAACACAATAATTTAAAGAAATATGAAATAAAAAATTTAATTCGATTGCATTCATTCATAATCGGACAACTTAAATTTAATATTAATATCAAAACATAATTATATAAAAAAAATTTAAAAAAATAGTAAAAACTTTTAAATAAAAGTCTGCAAAAAAAATTATATATTAATATATATATAAATATATTAATTATATATAAATAAACTTTTTTGTTTATAAAATTTTTCTTCCTATAATTCTTCAAAAAATTACAAAATAAACAAATTTTTAATTATTAATAAACAATATAAAAAACACCTAAATAAAGCAATCAAAAATTTAAAAAACACTTTAATAAAAATAATAATAAAAAAAATAAACCCAAGTACATCCCTAAAAATCAGTTTCTTCCATTTATTTTTTTAATTAAATCGCCAAAATTTTTATTTTAATTTATTATTATTTTCGTAAATGTTAAATATAAACTTTTTATAAATTTTTATATTAATCCATAAGAAAAAGACTTTATAAGTGCTTAAAAAACTAGACACTTCTCGTCATATTATAAAACATGATTTATTTTTGTTTTATTTCATATATATATATATATATATATATATATATATATAAAATTAATTTAATTATATCTTGACACTTGTGAATGTTTTTTTATAATGGAATTTTATTATATTGGTATTTAGTATTTTTTGGTTCAAAATTTTTATTAAAGTTTAAGTAAATAAACAATATTAATTTCTTATTAAATTAATATTCTTATTTCTTATTAAACATATTATAAATTCTTAAACATAAAATGTTTACTAGCTTTTTTTATATCAATTGTTATATTTTCAACTAAATTTAATTTAGGTATTAAAATGTCTTTATTATTTAACATTTTTTTAATAGTTATAGTGTTAAACAAGTTTTAATTATGTAATTTAATTTTTAAAATATTTTTATTTAATAACTTAGTAAAAAAAATTATTAAATTTTAGCTCGGAACATTGGCAACAGAAGTCTTCTCTTTAATAAATCAATTAAAAAATTGTTTTGGCGCATATTGAGACTAACTTGTTCTTTATCTATTTAACTACTTAAAAAAAAATATGTAGTTATATATAAATAAATATACACATTTATAAATATATATATATAAATATATATATATATATAAATAAATATATACATATAAATATATTTATATATTTATACATATGTATTTATATATACACAGATATATATATAGACTACATACTATTTATTATTTATATAGATTTTTTGTCACATGATATGAAATAAATTTAATTTCAATTTTTAAAATATTAAAAATATGTTTATTGAATATAAACATAATACAAAAAATAATTCTTTGTTTTTTTTTTTAACTGGAAATGAAACAACCTTAATAATTATTAATAAATATTAAAGGAATTCTTTATTAAATATTTATAATTTTCTGTAAATATTATTTTTATTTTTAAAAAAATTAAAAATATTGTTAAAATTAAATTAAAGATGAAGCTCTATCCAGTCATTTTAATTTATTAATTTTATTTTAATAATATTAAGTTTTAATTTTCTAATTTAACTTATAAACTATATATTTATATAAACTATATATTAATTTTTTTATATAAACATTTTTTTTGCTATTTATTTATCTTGCTTTGATTTTACATTCTATTTTTTAATATATATAAGCAAACTAAAGAATTTTATGTTGTAGGACAAGAAATCTGTTTCAATTAGAGGAGGGAGAAGAGGTTAATTTTAGTGACTAACAAAATTAAAATCTATTAAATTTGACAGTATTCAAAAAAAAAAAAAAATTTTGGGGTTTTATTTTAAATATTTTTATTTACGTTTACAATCCGCCAGTATATTTTGATTACATTATGCAATAACTATATTATATTATGCATAGAGCAAATAGAATATAGATATACTGTATTCTTGAAAATTTTAATATACTCTTAAGAGTAACACTTTATTCCTCAGAATATTCATTTATACTTTAGAATATTCATGTATTCTTTAGAATATTAGTTTATACCTTGGAATATGCGTGTGTCCTTTAGAATATTCGTTTGTACTTTAGAATATTCGTATGTTCTTTAGAATATTCATTTATACTTTAGAATATTCGCATATACTTTAGAATATTCGTTAATACTTTAGAATATTCGTATGCTCTTTAGAATATTAGTTCATAACTTGGAATATTCGTGTGTCCTTTAGAATATTCGTTTATACTTTAGAATATTCGTATGTTCTTTAGAATATATATATATGTATATAATATATATTCTTTAGTTTATTCGTATATTCTTTATATTATTCATTTTATCTTTGGACTATTTGTATATTGTTTTGAACATTACTATAGTCTATTAATAGATAGAATCCAATATACACACTTTTAATAGAGCATTAGCAACTTATGTTAAGAGAAGATTTCATCTATTTGTTGCCAAATGAAAGCTAAAATAATAATTTTTTTGCAATGTTTTTGATAAAAGGTTCCTGTGATTTTAAAAAATCAAACTTTTTTAATGTAGTTAAAACATTTATAATGTTTTAATTTAATGTGTATACTTAACAAAATACTTAACGTGAATATGATTTATTTCTTAATTTTATTCAATTTGATTGTATTTCTTTAAAAGTTTATAAAATAGAGCAATCAAATTAAATACTTCCATTAATAACCGCTAATTTATGTTTCTCTTAAGTTGTTTAACAAAAATATTATCTTTTAATTATTTTTTAAAAGAAACCTATAATAAATTTTTTTAATATTCCTTTTAATCCCTCTGCCATTGACTCACATAAAAATTAAAAGTAATAATCAATATTTTATTTCTAAATGTTTTTTTTCTCCATCTTTCTTATAAAGCATAATGAATCGTTACTTTTTTATATTGAAAGTATTACTGAGCTTAACTATAATAAATTTAGATTCATTATACTCAATAAGAATGTAGGTTTTTGTATTAAAAAGGTTTCCACATAAATACAAAAAAATTGCATGTTATTAAATAAATAAAATAAAATTAATTAAATAAATAAGCACGCAAACAATAAACGAAAACTGCCATTAAAATATAAATTTTAAAACAACATTTAACTAAAGTTAAAATGAAATAAAAACAATTGACTTTTAAATTAAATTAAAAACAAAAAGATAAAAAAAGCCCTAGATATCCATCCACTAGCTCAAATCCGAAGTTGTCGTTTTTGAAAACGCAATAATTCCCATTCCCTAACGAGATCCGTGAAGAGAGAGAGCATCAAACAGCTCTACTCACTCCCAAATCCTTATAAATATTGTAATAGAATGGTGTTGTAGTGAAATACAAACCATTGATTAAATAAACGAAACCAATGAAAATAACCAACATAAGAACCAAATAAAAAGCAAAATCGGTGATGTATAAGAGCAAAAATTAAACGCCACAACAAACAAAATAAAAAGCTAAAAGCAGAAGCTCAAAAAATAAAAAAAAAGAAAGAAGTTAGTTTCAAAATAGATCTCAAGATCCATAACCCGCACTAGCGTCTAACTACGAAATGCTGGCCAGGCTTGCATTTTGTGTTTGGCATGCTACCTCAGGATATATGAATCCAGATGGTGCTGATCTCATATGCCTGTGTATGTTTTGATCCTTATTTCCACGAAAGGTTGAAATAAAGAAATGGTTGCGAGCAATAATATTTGCGTGTTGATGAATTGCATAATTTTGGTGAAATGCGCAATGATCGATCGATTTATTGTTTGGATTTATAGTATATATAGGCACGATAGGTAGTTATAGTATATAAGTCCAGAGTTATTGCAGCATGTTTATTGTTACATTGATACATTGAATATTTACTTAGATGTATATATTTAATGCTTTAGTGTTATGTGCATAAAATCAAGGGAACATAATGATAGTATTGACAACTGATTTAAATATAAAATCAATTTACTTAATTGATATCTGGGCCATGTACATTCAATAAATGAAATACACTCTTCACGCTTTAAATAATCTTAAATGCGGTTCCCTGCCGTTTAATCGCTGGGGCAGTTGCATATTTCACACTAAGAATATGACGACCCCTATTATATACATTATGGATTTACATATTTAATTTTATTATTTAATATTTTTATTTTTTTTTTTTTTTGTAAGCAAAGTAAGGTGTAACAATCCGTCGACCGGAAAGTGATACAATTTATTTTAATATTTAAGAAATAATGACAATTATATGATCTGCGTGTAAAAAAAAAATAATACATGGGTGAAATATGTCAGCAAAAATTTGTAGTTTTTTATTATACTCAATCTAAATCTAAATTTTAGAAAAAAAACCTAAAAAAGTCAATTAAGATGTATTTTTTCATATTTTAAATAGTACCCATTAAGTACTATACAATTATGTTAGCGTTTGATCCAATCCTCCACACATTTTTACTAGACTCACTGAGGTATGGCCTTTAACTAGTTTTTTGGTTTGTTTTATGCCCACAACCAACTGGAGATACCTTTCTCAGAGTGATAATTTTAGCTTCGGGAAGAGAAAAAACCAAAAGGGACAATGACTAGATGAGTACAGGGCTAGCTCAACCACAAACGTTTAGTCTTTTCTCAAAAACTCTTGCGAAACACGATATTATCAACGCATTTTTTTTTTAATTAGTAGTTCTCGATACGTAGCAAAAAAATCAGTTACTGTTACTTGTTAGATTTTGGGCTACATATAAACCTTTTGAAATTTGTATAAATTCGATAATGTAACTAATACCACGTCCCTTATCCAACGCCTAATGACCTTTGTAACAGTTTAG